CTCTTACCTGGTGTTACACCAGAGAACTCACACAGGGGAGAAACCATATGAATGTCCAGATTGTGGGAAAAGTTTCAGTCGGAACTCTTACCTAGTGATACACCAGAGAACTCACACAGGAGAGAAACCATTTGAGTGTCCAGATTGTGGAAAAAGCTTTAGTCATAATGCCTACTTGGTTATACACCAGAGAACTCACACTGGGGAAAAACCGTATGAGTGTCCAGATTGTGGGAAAAGTTTCAATAATTATTCTAACCTTGTGAAACACCAGAGAACTCACACCGGAGAGAAACCATATGAGTGTCTATACTGTGGGAAAAGTTTCCAGCAGAATTCCAATCTGGTCATGCACCAGAGGACTCACACAGGGGAGAAACCATATGAGTGTCCAGATTGTGGGAAAAGTTTCAGTCAGAAATCTTGCCTGGTGATACACCAGAGGACTCACACTGGGGAGAAACCATATGAATGTTCGGATTGTGGGAAAAGTTTCAATAATAATTCCAGCCTTGTGCAACACCAAAGGACTCACACAGGAGAGAAACCATATGAGTGTCTATACTGTGGGAAAAGTTTCAGTCAGAACTCTTGCCTGGTGATACACCAGAGGACTCACACAGGAGAGAAACCGTATGAGTGTTCAGATTGTGGGAAAGGTTTCAGTCAGAACTTTCGTCTGGTGATACACCAGAGGACTCACACCAGAGAGAAACCATATGAATGTCCGGATTGTGGGAAAAGTTTCAGTCGAAACTCTTGCCTCGTGATACATCAAAGGACTCACACTGGGGAGAAACCATATGACTGTCCAGATTGTGGGAAAAGTTTCAATAATAATTCTAACCTTGTGAAACACCAGAGGACTCACACAGGAGAAAAACCATATGAATGTCCAGTTTGTGGGAAAAGTTTCAATATTCATTGTAACCTGGTGCAACACCAAAGGATTCACACAGGAGAGAAACCATATGAGTGTCCAGATTGTGGGAAAAGTTTCAGTCAGAACTCTTTCCTGGTGATACACCAGAGGACTCACACGGGCGAGAAACCATATGAGTGTCCAGATTGTGGAAAAAGTTTCAGTCAAAACTCTAATCTGGTGATACACCAGAGGACTCACACTGGGGAGAAACCATATGAGTGTCCAGATTGTGGGAAAAGTTTTAATAATAATTCTGCCCTAGTGACACATATGAGGACACACATAGGAGAGAAACATTTCAGTTGGAATTCCAACCTTGTGCAACAACAGAGGACTCACACGAGCGACAAAGCATATGAGTGTCCAGATTGTGGGAAAAATTTCCAGCAGAATTCCAATCTGCTTATACACCAGAGGACCCATACAGGAGAGAAACCGTATGAGTGTTTAGTTTGTGGGAAATGTTTCAGTCAGAATTCCAACCTGGAGAGACACCAGAGGACCCATACAGGAGAGAAACCATATAAGTGTCCCGATTGTGGGAAAAGTTTCAGTCAGAATGCCAACCTAGTGATACACCAGAGGACTCACATGGGAAAGAAACCCTATAAGTGTCCAAATTGTGGGAAAGCTTTCAGTTGGAAGTCTGACCTGGTGAGACATCAGAGGATTCACACAG